GTCTTTAATCTTAACAACAACCACAGGCAGTGTATCCTTTAGAAATTATAAGGTATCGTTTTGCACCTTAGGGTCCCTAAAACTGAAATATCTTCAGGTTCTCTGCACTTCCACAAATCCTTAGGATGTTCACTTTGTGATGTACTGTACCAAGCCTAGCTAATATTAAGGAGCAGCCTTTTCAAATTTCCATTCAAGAAGCAGGACTTTGCAACTTCAGTTAAAAAATATTGATGACGGAGTGTCAGATAACTTATTTAAGGTTCTGTGCTTCCAAAAGAGACCATAACTCTCTGTGACAAGTTGTTACTACAGTGACGTATAATAGGTGGTTGGTTCTAGAGGGAACCAACCTGAATTTCCCAGGCTTTTTTTTTTTACTGCACTATTGGCCCCTTGTTTATATGGACCTTGGAGATTAACTGTAAAATAAGGAGGTTTCAGTTCTCATTATTCCTCTAGCTTCACAATCTGTGCAGTGAATTCTCCTGCCTTAAAGGGACTTCAGAATGTGCCTGAGCATTGATGTGGTCTCTGGAAACATAGGACCCCTGGAGAGATAAGGCTCACTTTCTGTGATGAGCCTCACTTACGAAGTGAGCGCCCAGAGACTGGAATATGCTTCTGGCTTGACACTTGAGATTGCCTCTACACTTCAAGTACATCACTGAACTTTATGCAGAACCACAAGTGTTTTTTTCCTTACAGAGGTGTCGTGCTTCTGTAAAGTCCGTAGTGATTTAAGGACATCAAAATTACAGAAGTACTTTCTCTTTTTCACTGTAGAAGCATACAGTACAGTGTTGCTTTCTATCATTCTGAAAACCATGCTTTGCTGCCATCATTAGAGTATTAAATAAATGTGCTAATGCAGATATATTTATTGTTCTCTGCTACTTCTCGAAAGGGATTCCTGTTTGAAGCTGCTGTATAAGATACTTACTAAGGCTCAATAGAAGAAGCATAGAAACCCACAAAATCACTGCACATGATGCAACATGTACAGTACATTATATTGCAATCTTGAGAATCCTATGTCAAAGATGCTATTCATGGATTGCATTTTTATATTTATATATGTACTGTATATGCAGTTATTTTTTATTGAACAAAGTTTGAGCCACATCATTTATTTGATTTAATATCCAAAATACAGTGCCTTGCGAAAGTATTCGGCCCCCTTGAACTTTT